GCGCGCGCGCGCGCGCCTCGGCTGCGCGCGCGCGCGCAGACGAGCCGGCGCTGCTTCTGATTGGCGGCAGCACCGCGGCCCCGGGGCGGCTGCCGCTGGGGCGCGATTTGGAGCGGCGCGTTTTCGGTTTGTGCGCGGCGCGCGGCGCCGCTGCGGATAAGGGGCGCGCCAAAAACCCGCGCTAATGGGCCCCCCGCAGCCGCGCCGCGCGCTGCCTCAGCGTTGCCACCGCCCAAGCCCCGCGGCGCAGCCATGCGTCGGCTGCGGGACTGCGCGATTGTGTAAAACCTGCATTTTGTTGCGCGCGTTTGTACTGCTGCTTGCTTGCCTGCATGCGCTCTCTCTCCCCCCCTTCTCTCCTGCCTTGTATGCCACATGCACCACCGCACCGGTCGAAAATGGCCCCCCCCCTCCCGGCGTGTTTGCGGCCGCCGCCTTTGCGGCCGCGCGCCAGGTGCCCCCGGTGTCACTAGTGCCTCGCTTGCACTGCCCAGCGGCTCACACCCCCGCCGGCCACGTCGGCCCGCGGTGGGTTATATCGCATATTTTTTCTGGAGGTTTTTTTCGCGAGCCGCCTACAGCCCAGGCAAGCACATGCCGGCCGGGGGGCGTGGCGCGCGCCCCGCACGGCGCGCGCCCGCTGCCGAGCGGCCAAGATCGGCGCCCGCCGTCGGCACCGGCCCCTTGCAGGGGCCGTGCGGCGCGGGTGGGTTAGTGCGCTATCGTTACACATGTTGTGGTGTTGCCATCCGCGCCTCGCGGCGCGGGTGGCGTTGACCGCCTGCCATGTGGCGGTTGACTGCTCGTTTTCCTTGACCCTGGTTGCTTGGAACATGGTGGCTGCTGGATCCTGCGATGCCGCAGGCAGAGTAACAAATCATCATCATCATCGAAGGGCCCCTTGGCATGTGCATGGGTGCGTGGTGGCGGGGCGGCTGTGCAGTGTTCGGCCCGCGCTGCAGGTGGAGCGGCGGCGAGAGGGTGACACCGCGCAGCGGCCTGGGGCCAGCAGCATCGGCCGTGTTGCGGGCAGCGCCCGCGTCGCCCCTATCCGCAGAAGGGCGCCTGGACTTTTGGTAGCAGTCTCCATAGCTCAGTTGGTCAGAGCGCAGGATCCATGACCCTGAGGTCGCCGGTTTCAGCCCGGCTGGGGACATGTGCCCCCTTTTGCTCCCTTTTCAATTTTCATGGTCTGCTGCTGTGCATCGTGATTCAATCCCCCCTCATCTCACCGTCACCTTAGGCAGTAGGACCCTGGGGCAGTAGGACCCACACGCTGCCCTCCTCCTCCTCCTCCTCGCCGGGGCGAGCGGACCCTGCACGGGGCGGCGCCGCAACTGAAAAAGCCTGCTGCCCACCCTCCTTCCACACTCAGCAATCCCCTCAACTGATGAGCGGTGCGGACCCCTTGCTCCCCCTTTTGTGATCACCGCCACTGTGCGAAAACAGAGCATGCAACATGCTTTTGCGAGGCGGGGCCTTGTGTTGAGAAAGGTCGCCACCAGCGCGGACGCTGCGGGCGGCGACGGCGAGGGGGGCGCGACGCCGCGACCGGCGAGCCGCCGGCCCTCGAGGCGCCGACGATGCAAATGTGTCGCCGCCCCACGCGCAGGCCGCGCTGCGTGCCTGCCCTGAGGAGTATGCAGCATGCCAGCAGCCGCCAGCCAGCCCTTTGCACAGCACCGGCCCCATGCGCAAGACAGTACGTGTTGGAACAGTGGCCGCCATCAGGCGCCCCAACCCCGTCAGCGACTGCCCGCCCCCGCTCCTCCCCCGCAGGTCACCCTCCAGTCCATCCGCATGCGGAAAACACCCCTCGGTGGGCCAGAAGCGGCGCTGAGGATGGGCGGCCCAGGGCCCTTTTCTTGGGCGCCTCTGCGCTTTCGAGAGCGCTGACCCGTGCGCTGCGCGGGCAACAGGAGACATGCCCCAGAGCTCGCTGGTTGCCCTTTGTGTATTTTGATCGTAACTTGCGGCCGGGGGGCGCCGGGGGGGGGGCAATTGGGCCGCGCCCAGCCGGAAACGGCACGTTTGACCCCCGCTGACTGCCGTGCGAGCCCGCCCCGACTTCTTCCTTCCCGTACCGGACCCTTCACTTCGTCTCGGGTGTGACGCAGCTATCCCCGGCCCCAGAAAACCCTCGGACCTGAGCCCGGAGCGCGCGGTCGTCTGGAGGGCCTCGTGGCCGCGCAGAGCCCGTCTACCCCGCCCTCCCGACGCGCGTACAAGTGGTGAGGGAGTGGGGGGGGGGTGCGGACTTGACGGAGGGGCCGCGGGGGGACGAGCTCGCAGCTCGGCTGGCCTGGGAGCAGCACGGCCGCTGCGCGCCCCGCTGCTCGAGGCGCCGCTGCCCCAGCACAGCCGCCGCCTCGCTGATCGCGTGCGCCCCCACACGCAGGTGCGCACACAACATGCCGCCCACCACGCGCGCGGCGGCGAGGGCCCGCATCGCCGCTGCCGCAGCGGCCCTGCCGCACGAGCTGCTGGCTCGCATCTGCGCCTTCCTGCCGCCCGGGGACGCGATCCTGACGGCGCCCCGCCTGAACAAGGCCTGGGCAGCGGCGGCGGCGCCACGCGCTGCAGAGCTGCGGAGGGTTGCTGCGGTACTGCAAGAGGACGCCCGGCTCCAGGACCCTTTTGCTTTCGAGTCCTGGTCCGCACCGCTCTGGGCGCTGCAGGAGGCGTGGCCGCAGTTGACGGAACGGCAGCGCAGGTTCGCGGCGGCGCGCGCCGCCTTCCACGGCGACCTGGCCGTGCTGTCGTGGGCGCTACCGCAGCGGGACGATGATGGCAGGCTCTACTGCATCGCAGCGGCGGCCGGCGGCCAGCTGGAAGCACTGCAGTGCGCACGCGCGCTGGGGTGTGACTGGGGCGCTCGCACCTGCTCCGCAGCGGCGCGGAACGGCCACCTTGCCGTGCTGCAGTGGGCGCGCGCCCAGTGGCCGCCCTGCCCCTGGGACGAGGATACGTGCAGCATTGCGGCCGGGGGGGGGCACTTGGCCGTGCTGCAGTGGGCGCGCGCCCAGGAGCCGCCCTGCCATTGGAACCAGCTCGCTTCGCAGCCGCTGAGGGCGGCCACCTGGCTGTGCTGCAGTGGGCGCGCGCCCAGGAACCTCCCTGTCCCTGGAACACGTGGACTTGCACGGCAGCCGCTGAGGGCGGCCACCTGGCTGTGCTGCAGTGGGTGCGAGCCCAGCAGCCGCCCTGCCCCTGGAGCGCTGAAACTTGCAGCGCGGCCGCTGAGGTCGGCCACCTGGCTGTGCTGCAGTGGTTGCGCGCCCAGCAGCCGCCCTGCCCCTGGAGCGAGCGGACTTGCAGCGCAGCGGCCGGTGGCGGCCACCTGACCGTGCTGCAGTGGGCGCGCGCCCAGCAGCCGCCCTGCCCCTGGGGCGAGGGGACTTGCCGCGCAGCGGCCCGCGGCAGCCACCCGGCTGTGCTGCAGTGGGCGCGCGCACATCAGCCGCCCTGCCATAGGAACCAGCAGACTTGCTTCGCAGCCGCTGAGGGCGGCCACCTGGCTGTGCTGCAGTGGGCGCGCGCCCAGCAGCCGCCCTGCCCCTGGGACGAGTGGACTTGCTTCGCAGCCGCTGAGGGCGGCCACCTGGCTGTGCTGCAGTGGGCGCGCGCCCAGCAGCCGCCCTGCCCCTGGAGCGAGCGGACTTGCGCTGAAGCGGCCGGTGGCGGCCACCTGACCGTGCTGCAGTGGGCGCGCGCCCAGGAGCCGCCCTGCCCCTGGAGCGAGCGGACTTGCGCTGAAGCGGCCGGTGGCGGCCACCTGACCGTGCTGCAGTGGGCGCGCGCCCAGGAGCCGCCCTGCCCCTGGGACGAAGACACTTGCTACGCAGCGGCCAAGGGCGGCCACCTGCCAGTGCTGCAGTGGGCGCGCGCCCAGGAGCCGCCCTGCCCCTGGGACGAGGATACTTGCCGCGCAGCCGCTGACGGCGGCCACTTGGCCGTGCTGCAGTGGGTGCGCGCCCAGCAGCCGCCCTGCCCCTGGGACCAGTATACTTGCATGGAAGCGGCGGCGCGCGGCCACCTGGCCGTGCTGCAGTGGGCGCGCGCCCAGCAGCCGCCCTGCCCATGGGATGCGGAACAGTGCCTCTATTATACGGTGGATGCTGCCACCGCGGAGTGGATCCGCGCGCAGGCGGCGCTCGAGGGCGTGGCGGTCTGAGCAGCGCTGCTGCGTGCGCGTAACTGGTAGCGGCATTCAGCCAATAGTCCAATATTGGTTCTCGGCAATGCCCGCCGCACCCCCAATCACGCCGCTGCCGTTTACCCAAGGATGTCCCCCTTCCCTTGGGATGCAACACGATTGACTGCAGTACCCCCGCACCCCCCCAGCCACCCTCACGCAGCACCTTGCACCGCGCCGCTTGTAAAACGCGCCTGCAGCAGAAAAACAGCGCGCATCGATTACACAGGGCCCGGCGGCGCCGGCCTCTGCGCTCCTGCGGCGCCACGCTCGGCGCTGCCCACAGCCCGTGCGCGGCGGCCGCGGCTCGGCGAGCCCGCTCTGTCCAATTTCGCCAAGGCAGACCAACGAAACGAATGCGGCGCATTGCCAGGGGGCGAATCGGGCAACGCGGATTGCAGGCATCACCCGAGGCGGCTGCGCTTGGGCCCCTTGTCCGCCGCTCCCCCGGGCACGCGCTTGCCGCCGGCAAGGCTGGGCCGCCCGGAGTCAAAGCTCGAGTCCTGTTTTGTCGGGTTTGGTTTGGGCTGGGTTGGTTTCTTTTGGGTTGGTTTTGTCGGGTTTGGTTTGGTTTGCAGCCGCACACGCGAGTTGCAGCCCCGCACGCGAGGGCTGAGGTGCATCATCAGGGTTGGAGGCCACCAAAACCAGTGGCCTTCCACACCCCACCCCAGCGCCTGCCCCACACAAGCCACCAAAAGCCCCAGCTGCCTGCGCACCATGGGGGCAAACGTGCTGCCCCATCCGCTGCCGCCCGCGCCGCTGCCGCCGCCGCCGCCGCCGCCGCTGGCCGCAACGCTGACGTTCCGCCGCGCCCCGCCCTTTGCCGCCGTCTCGCAGCCGTTGACCTTGGCGGCAAACTGCGGCCGGGGCGGCGTTGCGGTTGGGCGTTTGGGGTTTAGCGTCGGGCGTTTCGGGCAAACCCCAAACCACCAAATACTACCACCTGCCCTGGCATGCATCGCACCTTGAGGCTGCAGAGGCTCTCGTTTGCCGAGGCCGGCTCTGGGTTGATGTTGACAAACTGTGCAGGAAAGAGGGGCGCGCCGCAAAGGGTTTGCGTTTAGTCAACATGGGCTAGTTTGCTGTGCTCCTGGGGGCAACGGCTCGCAAGGAAAGGAGACCCTCCAGCGCCGCGGCCGGCAGCGGTCCCAACCAAACCCAGCCCCCCTCCTCCGCTGGCAAGCCGCGGCTGCGCGGCCGGCCCCGAGCGCGTGCGGCCATGGCGGCGCGCGCACCATCAGCGTCTTGCCGTCGCCGCCGAGGCAGGGCTGCAGGAGGTAGGTCAGCTTTGAGTTGCGGTAGGGCTGCGGGCGGGGTTGGGGGCCGCAAACGGTGGCGCTTGTTTGATTGGTTGCTTGATTGCTTGTTTAGTTGGTTTGGGTGGTTGGGTCTGGTTGGCGGGCAGGCGGCAAACAGATGCGCTGCGCAAACCCCCTCAAAAGCCCAGCCCGCAGTGGCAGCGCACCACGTGCGCCGACTTGGACGACAGCGACGCAAACACGTCCCCCAGCGCCGACAGCGACTGGTTGATGCTGCAGGCCTCCTTCTTGCGCTCCGCCTCCGCCAGGGAGCGGTCCAGGCGCTCGCTGTTGGGGGGCAGAGGGCGGGGGTGTTGAGGGTGTGTGTGTTGAGGGGGTGGTGTTGAGGGGGGGAGCGGTAGAGCAGGCGCTCGAGGCGGCGAGGGGCCATTCTTCGGCGCTTGCGGCGTGCGGCTGCCGCGCCAAAACGCGACCAACCCCGAAGCGCACGCGCAGCTAGCAATCCGGGCGCGATCGCGGCGGCGCGGCGCGGCGCCCGCCAACACCCGGCCCACCTGCCCGCGAGGTCCACCAGGCACAGGCACCCCGTCAGCCGCGTCCCGCTCGCGGGGTGCGCCCCAGCGATGTAGAGCATGAACACGCAGTGGCTGCGGCTGCTGGTGGAGTTCATCGCCGTCTCGGCGCACGCTCGCGCCTCGG